AATTCTAAAATACAACTGCATAGGAAAAGAAAGATCAGGATCTCTGTTCATATTTAATGCCTTATGATTACCTTTTCTGCTGTTTTCACTAGCTGAGATTCTTATGGCATATCCTCATCATTTTCTTTCTCATACTTCTCTTCCTCTAATAACTATTTGTAATTTAAATCCTTTACTTGTTTTTTGAAAATATGGCTTTGTTTTACAGATAATTCCAGTCCAGAATGCAATCTAGCTCTAACTTGTTCATTCTACATGGGTGAGATAGCTATGAGAGTTCGAAAGGTAAGCATTTGGCTGGAGCCGTTCAGTTTTGGATGATGGGTTTAGACCATACTTGTCAAAGATGATAACCTTTACACCCTATAATGCACCTTCTAATGAACCCTCTTCTTATTTTTTCCTTATGAAATAGTATAAATGACATAGACAACAATATATTTGTCAGTGGAAAGCAGGTGCACTTTCCTATAGGAGATAATTGTTGGATGCCTTATGGTGTTTGTGGTCCAGAAAGTAGATACAATGCATATCATAGGATATATAGAAGATGGCAAATCTGACACAGGCGTGAACCACAGAACTTGTGATAGACCCGAAAATTTGATTGTAGCTGATATTATTCTCTTAGATGATGCCCCAAGCTGAGAAAAAACAAGTATGGTGTTCAGTGGTGACACGGGTGAGGTTATGAGTATTGAAAAATTTCCTCGGTTCTGATTTTGGTGCTTGAGGGAGATGGAGAGAACAAAATTCTTTTCAACTCTTTCCATCTATAGCAAATTATCTGATTTCATCGATTATCTGTTTTTCGCTTTACCAATTGTATTCCTTATTATATATTTAAGTTAATAGTATTCAACTATAATTTCCAAAGAAAACTAATAATTCATAATTCTTATACTTCTTCTTAATCAATCATTTAAGTTGAATTTAATTTTTTTACATATTTAAGCTTAGGTTAAAATAAAATCAATACTCGAGCACCTTCACTTTATTTGAAAAAAAAAAAACAATACTCCTATATTTAGTGATATTGGCTTCACTTGATTTTGTAAGAAGTCTTAAATGTTTTGATGGAATAGGATATGAACTTTGATGATTTGGGACAAAATCGTTAACAGTTGATGGAATGGGATATGAACTTTGATGATTTGGGACAAAATGCTGCAGCATTATCACCTTGGCTTTGTTTTGGTGGCAGCCTCAATTGATTTGAGAATTATTATTTGTTGCAGGGGTCATTCTCTTATAAACTTCCAGCAGATGATGCACTTAAGGGCTGTCAAGTTGCCAGCAATGTCGGTGACATATCACAAAATAGTATCATGGCTAGTACACTTTTAGGGAGCATAATTATTTTCATTCCTCTTACTAGGTATTTCACAATTATCCTGTCAAACTTACTGTTCATGTTACCTGAAAAATTTAGTTCATCTTCACCTTCGTGGGATGTGCTTCGTCATTCTTCGACTCTTTGTGCCTTTTATTTCACTATTTACATGCATTTTTTAGTTTGTTATTCTAGTGTCTGAGCTGCAAACTTAGGATATGACTATCATCTGATAATAACATTTGGGTGGTTGCTTTTGCTCCTCGGTGACAATCAGCTTAGTCTCTTCATCAAGATGTTAAATAATTAATATATGCATTTATAGCTGTCTCAGCATGTTGACTCTACTGGAGTATTAGAATGCCAGTTTTTGGACTTCTCGTGATTCGTGAGATTTAANTGGACTTCTCGTGATTCGTGACATTTAAACTGATTGAATTCAACTACTCTTTTGAACGGCTAGTGTCGGGCAACCCGAGTTAGATGTTCCTGCTTTGTAGTTGGTTTAGGAGTTCTTAGTCTCTGTAAGTATTATCTGGTGTTTTTTTCCCCTTCCTACCCCACTCCTTGCTGTCCTGCAGAAGTGGGAGGGAAAACAGTGACTGGGAAATTGGAAAGCAAGTGGTCATAAGTAGTTTCTGGAGTGTATTTACACTGTTTTATTTCGGGGACATCCGATAAAATTGGAATGATAGAGAGAAGATTAGCATGGCCCTTGCACAAGGATGACACGCACAAATCGAGAAATATTTCATGATTTAAATTGAAAATGTATATGATTTTCAAAAAGCTTCCGGTCAGATTGATTTTCATGCATATGGTTGGGGTACATCATACGGTTTGGTTCATTCGGGTGGGGTAGTGTGCTGGGTGCCAATCACGTGTATTTGGGTAGTGACATTAAAATAGGAGATGGGTAAGTTGGTACAAAAAGAGAATTACTCCTAACATGGATCAAATGTTGAAGTATTTTAATTGAATGCCAAAATGCAGTGTTTTCAATTGGCTATCTATTTTCTCTGCATAGAAGATATTGTTAAACTACCTCTGAAGAAATTTACTTTCTCATAGGGAGGAATATGATCTCTTAGAAGCGGTACAGGCTAGGCTTGTCATCCATCCATTGACTGCTCCTATATTGGGAAATGACCACGCTGAATTTCGCTGTCGTGGGAGTCTGGTAAGGATCTATTTTTCTTATTTTAGATGTAAACTGTTTTGAAGTTCTTTTTTTATAATTTTTTTTAAAGAAGTTCTTATTTAATTCCGGCTTTTACAAGGTGAAGTTTCTAATCAAGCCTGATGATTTTTTATGAAAAAGAATTGTCATTAGATAAGACTATTATGTTAGATAGTGATGTCTCACACTCTTGTAAAAGAATTGTCATTAGCCTTTGGCTATTTAAAGCTTTTGCTTTGTTCAAGTATAATGCTACAATTCACATGCTGCTCATTGTGCTCATGTCAGAGGAGTGCAAATAGAATGTCCCAATAAGCATGTGAACAAGGACAACGGGACATATAGCGTAGTGGAAAGGACCATTCACCTCCTGCCATGTGGCGGTTCAAGCCACCTAGGGAAAAAGTGGGAAAAGGCCATTGGTGAATGTTGTCTCCTAAGGGGTGGAGGGGTTACTGGAGTAGGATTTTCCATATCACACAAGAAAAAAAAATGGAAATGCAAACAAGAGGAATCTGTGACTACAGTCTTTCACTCTTGCTCTCTATAGTTCTCGTTTTCCTTGACAAGGTGTTTTAGGTTTGCATTGCAGAAACTAGAGGGCCATGCTTTTTATGATTGATGTTTAAGTATCTGCCTGAAACTGTCACTCATTATTCTTTGTGCCGGTATTTTGCCTTTTCCAATTATAGGCTAGGGCACCTAAAGCTCTGGATGGTGATATGCTTGCTCAGTTCTTGGAGCTTACTAGTATGCAACAAGAAGCTGTATTAGCATTGCCTCTTGGTGCACAAAACACGATTACGTTCAATTCAAAGCAATCTCCTCCTCCAATTACTGTCAATCAGGTTGTGCGGCTGCTAGAACGTGTTCATTATGCCCTGAACTGAATATGTTCTGATGCTTTGAGAGCTGTAAACTTGGACTTCCATTGACTGCCAATCATGTGGCCTTACAGCCTTCCTCCAGATGATTGCCAGTGCGAAGGCCATCTTTTCATATTCTTGGAAGCAAGATGATTGCGATTGACACATGATGTTTGAAGCTGGATCAAATATCGTGCCCAGGCCAGGCTATTCTGCTTTGTTTTGGCTTTTTTTTTTGGGGGGG